CTGGTATGGCTTTGTGTGCTGCCCATCCCACAGATCAGGCCTGTAAGTTGTGTGTGGGGTGCCCTGAGTCCCAGCAGCCAGGCGGGGTTCTGGGCACCAGCACGGCTGCAGGTGCTGGGATAAGATCTCTGTGTCTGTCCATGGAGTTGCCCGCTGCCCCCGGGATGGCACAAGGAGCTCTGTGGCTGCCCTGTGGAGGATTCATGCTCCTTTCAAGCCTTTCATTGTGTGGCCACCCCTTGGTTTTCCTCTCCTAGAATTGGAAGCAGGGTGGGAAGACAAGAAAGCTCAGGCAGTTAGTGGGCTTGGGGTGATGTCCAACACGGGGACTTGCTCCCCTTCTACTGGGTGCTGCACTGAAGTGCTGGGATGAAATGGGATGAGCCTTGTTCCCCTCTGAGGAAAGCTGGGATGCGTTGCTGTAGGGCTCCTTCCTCAACCTTGCAGTCCCATGGGGTCCATGGGTCACAAAGGCCACTGGTGATGGGGGACACAGGGGTTGCTGCTGGGAGGGAGCTGGTCCTGTGGGCTCTTGTGGAGCTGAGCTCCTCTGGGTGTGTGGGAGAGCGCTGCGGTTTCCCGGCTGCACGGGAGGGATTGGGGGTGGCTTGGGGGGGCGGAGGTGACACAGGCATCCCGTCAGCAATACCATGGGAGCTGGCTTGAGGGGAATCTGCTGCAATTCAGCAGATTAGGGCAGGTAAAAGAAACAAGGCAAACCCAGGGTGCCCCTTCTCCACGCAGCCCTCCCCACTCCTGGAAGTCAGCAGGGCAGCAGTTTGCTGCACAGGCAGTTGAGTCTCTGCCACGTTGCATCGACACAGACCCACCTACCATCAACTTTCTAACCCTCTCTGAATATGCTTTATACCTTTGATCTCCACAGTACTTTGGGGTGATGGATTTCATGCTTTTTGTGCTGTGGGTTTCTACGACAGCCATGAGGACACTTTCTGCCTTGTTTTCTAATCCTTTCCTACCAATTCCTACCGCTTGACTTACTGCTTTTCAGTCCGAGTGTGTGCTGGGCAGTTTCCCCTCGGCACATCTTCACACCTCTTGGCATTGCATTATCTCTGCTGCTTTATAGCTCAGCACAGTGAGCTCCTGGAGCTCTTTTTGGCTGTGGCTGCCCCGGACTATTTGGTACCACCTTTGCCTGACCACTGCTTCCCCATGCTTTTGGGTGTGCTGTGCCTACTCTGCACCTGTGGGCCTTTGCTCCCTGGGAAGCACTCTGCAATCTAAGAGCTGATGGTTTATTCCTACCCATTTGTTTCTTATCTTTTAGCTAGTTGTCTGTGCAGAATCTGACTATTCTCCTTGCTGCATCTCGGCTCAATTTCTGTAGACCTGGAGGAGAAAACCCCCAGGGAGCCATGTGCTGCTCTGGTCCCTGTGTGCACGCTCCCCTGCAGCGGGCTGGTCTGGGGCTCTCCCCGGGAGCCATCCTGCTCACAGCATCCTGTACTGATCCCGGCTTCTTGCAAATCCACTCAACTGCGAGGCTCTGCCAAGCCCCAGCGAGGCTGGCCTGCCCTTCAGGTCCCATACTTTCTCACCCCCCTCAGCCTGGCTCTCTGCCTGTGTGCCCCATCAGTGCCCAGCCTGCAGCTTACCAGGTTAATGCCCTCCTTGGTGCACAGGATGGAGCCTGGAAGAGCTGGATTTGGTGCTGATTTGGGGTCCCAGTGCTTGTGCTGCCCAGCCATTACCAAGTCTTTGTGCTTGACAGAGCAGCATCTGTCTGCGTGCCTGGATGTGCCCGCAGTGATGGTGTATGGTGTAAGACACAATCCATTTATTTCCCCAGTGCCTCCAATTCTCTGAGCAGGTCCAGACCTCCACATTGCCTGTTTCCAGCTCCCAGGACTGTGCGGTAACTTTCTGGTGGTCTCTGCTGGGACCATTGATGAGCTCTCGTCCCAGGAGGACAGGACATCTGTAACAGATGCTCATCCCTAATGTCTGTGGAGCATCAATTAGTGTTTACAGGTTTCCACCCCCATTTACAACACCGGATTTGACCTGATAACCTAGCAGCAAGGGGCTCTGCTGCCTGCTCCTGGCTGCATCCCATCTCAGCCCATTCCCTTGCTGCTGGGGGGAAATGGGGGCACTGCTCCCAAGGTCATGGGTGTGAACTGTGGCCAGCGTTAATGTGAGCTGCTGCTTTGTGGGGAATTCACAAGCTGACTGGTGTGAACCCTGTAAGCTCTGCTGCTCCCAGTGGGACTTTGAAGGGGAAAAGCAAACTGTGCCCTCTTCCCTGACACCCCTTCCTCAATAGCCCACACTCATTATCCCAAAATGAAATAAGATGGATCTGGCAAGACCCTGCAATTAGCTGCTATGCAGGGACCTTTGTTAGGCTGTTTTCTGTGTCCCTTGACTTTCCACTATCTCCAGGCATCAGCTCGAGGGTCCCCAAGCCAGAGGGAAGCCCAGCAGCTCTGCTGCAGGAGTGTGGTCCCTCTGCCCTGTCCCAGCTCCATGGGGCCTTGATGGGCTCCCCCCTTGTTCCTGCCCCTCTCCCGGGGCACATCGACCATTTGCTGTTTGGGAGCCTGCAATGAAATCCAGGTCTCAGGGAGAAGCTGTGAGATGCCACCATCATGCAAGGCGAAGGTGGCCAGATCATGGCTCTCGTCCCTTTGCACAGGGCAGTCAGTCCCCTGCCCGTGCTGCCTGTCCAGGGCAGGTGGGGAAACTACAGTGGCCAGCGAGGAAAAAGCCACGTCCCCATCATGTGCGCGGACACGTCTCTACTCAGTAAAATATTTATTCCTCCATTATTTCACAAGAGTTGTTTTTACAAAAACCTTACAAAAATTTCCGAAACACAGACATGCAGAAGAAAAAAAAAAATCCATCGTGGATCTTGTTACAAGTAATTGAAATGTACAAATAGAAAGGGCGAGAGGGAGCTTAGATTACAATAATCCCTTCGTCCTGCTACCCCTCTGTGGGTGCAATTTGTATCTCATCTTGGTGAGGCTTCAGCGTTGACTGACAAGCTGTGTAAGCTGCCAAGAGCACGGTGAAGGAGGGGCCCTAAGATTAGGAGCGAATGTTTTCAAATATATATATACATATAGATATTTAGTGAAGAAATATTTATTCCCTGCTTTTTTTAGGTTTACAGAAACGGCATCTGCAAACTATTAAATGGGTTTATTTTCATTAATGCTCTCAAAGAGGCAGCGACATTTATATCCCTGTGGTTTCATCTTGTATAACTGAAAAAAGAGCCCTGTGCTTTCCATGGGAATAGGACCCCGCAGCCCCTCCTCCTGCCCTAAGCAGTGTTTCTCATAGCAGATGATCTGATCCACAGTGGATCCATCTTCCCCCTGGCCTGGCACATCTCAGCTTCTGTCAGGTCTCTGTGCAGTGTCTTGCTGCGGTCTGGGGAGCTGTGTGCTCCCTTTCTGGCATGGCAAATGGGGGAGGTACCAGCCCTGGGAATGGGGGTGGGGGGCACAGGTGGGTATTTAGGGTGACTTTGCTCCCTGGATGAGGTGGGCAGTGTCGGTCAGGCTGTGCCCCCTCCTGCCTGCCTTGCTGGTAGAGGAGGCAGTGGCTGTTCCCAACTCAGGGGCTGCATTGGATGGAGCAGAGAAAGCCGAGGCTGGGGGCAGGATGGAGGGGCCGGTTCATCCCCAACCAGAGGAGATGTGATCCTCTCCTGGTTCTCCCATCAGGTCTCCAGCTCTGGGTGCTGGGTGAGTCCCCCCGGGAAGGTGCTGCCTGGGGTGAAGCTGAGGGTCCTGGTGTTGCAGCTGCTGGGTAGCACATGCGGCTGCAGTGAGAGCCCCAGTGGGAAGAGAGAGGGTGCTCCTGGGAGCGGTGGGGACTCAGGTGGGCACATGTGTAGCTGGGACACTTTCAGCCTTGGTGTTGCACACCAGAGGATATTTATCTGGAGGAAGCACCTTAGCAATTGCTGTATTCAACCTCAGATCTACTGTGACAGTCCCCAGTGGGGCTAAGCCCTTCTAGGCAAGTAGGGCTGGTGGCTTCTCCATCCAGGCCACCCATTTGAGCTGGTGGTGTCCCTGTGCTTGGCTGGTGGCTCTTTGTAGTGGGTGAGGAAAGGGTGGCCTGATTTCCAGAGGGCTTTGTCCACAGGGTAAAACCTCCATCGCTCTGGCTCATCCCCCATTGCTGTGGTATCGGCAGAGGGAGGTGGAGGGTGTGTCTCTCTGCGGCTCTGTCCCATGGGCAAAGGATTGGGGTGCCATAAGCCTGGGGCAGCGTTACCCACCCTGTGTCCATCCCCCTGCACATCCCACCTTGCAACCTCATTAGGCTGCACGGCAGGGTGGGATGAGGGGGGAAACCATTTCCTTTCTGCAAAACCAAAAAAGCCCACCCCCATGGAGTCGCCAGCCCCAGATCCCCACACACATCTGCGAGCTGCCGACGGGGAGGCTGTGCCTCCGGAAGGCGAAGCCTGCTTTGCCGTTGGCACGAAGTGCTGGGAGCCGCCTACTCAGCTGAAACCCAACAGCTTTTTCCAATTTTCTCTTTACCTGGGACGGTTCAATGACCTGGGGCTCTGTAGAATCGCTGGCAAACCCACCAAGGCAGGGCAGCAGTGCCTGCTTGGGGACTGGCGATGCTTCCCCCAGCTCGTGGGAGAGCTCACGGGCTCCAAGCAAGTCTGTCGAGATGCTCCAGCCCTCCTCACCCCTCTGGGAAGGGTCAAAGCCTGGTGCCATTGACATAGGCAGCTCCTAAACACAGGCAGCGTGGTGCAGGGAGCTGGCTGGGACCGGCTGCGGCAGGGATGAGCTGTCGGCTTCCCAAAGTCTCTCCCAAGCACCGCGGCCGGAGATGCACAAAGAGGAGAATGCGCGGGTCAGCTTCGGCACGCGCGGTTCAGTGCCGCGAGTTGCAGCCTGGTGGAAAGGGGGGCTCGTGATCCTCCCACCGCTGCGTGCTGTCCCTGCGGGAGGAGAAGACCCAATAACTCTTTGGCTCTCTGGGCAAGATACCCAAATTGGTCAAATCCAATAGTCCAAGATCCTTCCATGTTTGGAAGCAAATTCTTGTTCCCTTGGCAAGTCTGTTTGTCCTCGAAGAGCGTGTGGGGGGTATGTGTGTGTATATATAGCCTTTATTATAAGGGTGTGCGGAAAAGCAAGTTTCTAACCAAGTTTGCTCCATATGTGGCTATAATAATGTGCCACTTTGGCCTGGGACTGACTCTACCTTCAAAAGGGAAGAGGAGAGGAGAGGTGCTGAGACATTGGATGAGTGGCATGTGGGTTGGGTGGGTGGCAGATTTGTCCTGGACCAGCACAGGAGCTCCACGTTGTATCCTGGATGAGGCCACGGGGTGGGCTTTGCCCTGGTCAGTTCACAGTTGGCACCTGGTTCTGATGGAGGCTGAACTCTTTGGCTTTGAGGCGCAGGCTGGCGATGCTGTTGGCCATGTTCACCCCTTGGGTGGGTGTCGCGGTCCCACTGGAGCTGTAGGAGGGCACAGTGCTGTGGGGAGGGAGCAGGGGAGGAATGAGGCATGGCCCATGGAGGAGCCCCCATGTCCCACACAGCCCTGCCGGCTTCCCAGGCCAGAGAGCCATTCTCTTAGACATCTCCCGCAAGAGCAGTCAAGGCTTCAGCATTTTTATGTGGCTGGATGCATGTGGGAACCCCTCAAACTATGCACCAGGAGGCCCTGCCTTGAGCAGGGTGAGATGGCTGGACGCAGGGACCTGGGAACCAGAAGGGACCCATGCCACCTCCTGTGCCAAGATATGGGAAGGGTCAGCACGAGGCCAAGCGAATCCCTTGTGAGGACCAGGGCCCCTGGCTCCAACCCCGAAATGCATGGTGGCAGGGAAGCCTGCTCAGCAGCAGGCAGGGGATGCTCAGACGGGGTTGAAATGGGTTCCCAAAACAAAGCTGGACGAGTTCCTTTCTGCCTAGTAAAACTCCCCATGTCCTCAGCAGCAGCACAGGGCTGCACGTCCCACACCAGTGGGGCGGTCCCTAGGCAGCGTGTCCCATTGCCACCTCTTCCCCAGCTCCTCCAGCACCTGCACCTACCTGTATGGGGAGGTGCTGGTCCAGGAGAGATACTCCGGAGTCAGCGCAGTGGGCCGCGGCGCCATGGGCTGCTCAATGGCTGCTTCTTGGCTATAGGATTTGAGGAGCGATGCCGATCTGTTGGCCAGCATTGCCCTCTCGTTACGGCGAAACTTGGCCCTCCGGTTCTGAAACCAGACCTGCATAGGGAGGGAAGGTGGTCAGCGGGGACCTGGTGTGAGCAGGGATGTCCCAGGCATCCGTCCTACCGATCACGGTCATGTGCAGGATGAAACAGGAGAGGGGACAGTCCCTGCTCCCACCTGGGGACAAGGCAGAGGGTGGTGTTTTCTCCCACACAAACCTTTGCTCACCTGGACTCTCGCCTCGCTGAGGTTGACCCTTCTTGCCAGCTCCTCCCGCACGAAGGCGTCGGGGTAGTGCGTCCTCTCAAAGACCCTCTCCAGAGCCTGCAGCTGGCTGCTGTTGAAGGTGGTGCGGTTCCTCCTCTGCTTCTTCTTCCTCTTGGCTGCCCCGCGGCTCGGGCTCAGGCTCTCGCCTGTGGGGAAAGCACAGAAGAGGTCACATGAGAGCCAGACCCGTGCAAGACCCCACATGGAGCCCCGGCAGGGCTCAAGCCCTCCTGGGGGTCTGCACTGCCCTGCTCCATGACCAGCACAGCTCTATGACCCTGCTCCCTGCGGGCACCTGGGACTCTGCGGGAAGCAGCATACGTGCAACCCTGTGGTCTCCGTGAGAATCAAAACCTATTTCAAGACCTGCTGGAGCTTAGGGTTAAACCCAACATTTGCAAAGACCTGTGGTGGTTTCACATCTCGCTAAAACTACCTGGGCCTGATTTTGAATACCAGTCTCAGTGGATTCTGGGACAACACTTGACCCAAACTGCTGGGACTGCATCTCACAGCCTCCTGCAATGGCTGAGATGTGGGTCTCAGCTCCCACCTCAAGCACCCCCTGAAACCCTGGCTGTGGCATGTCCCTAAGGTGACACAGGACTGCAGCCGAGCATCTGCTCATCCAGCCCTGGTCTTCAGAGCTGGGAATGAACGCCACCGCGTCTCGCAGAGCTCAGCCTCCGCAGCGTTTATTTCTGGCTTTGCTGGCTCATGGAAACATGAAGCTGAGGGTGTAGTTTGGTTTCTCAGTATTGATCTTGGGCTTTCAGCCAGGCTGAGATTAATCTCCTCTTTGTCACTAATATCATCAGGTTTAGGCAAGTTTATGAAGTCTTTTTCTGAAATACCCAGTCAGCTGCCTGCAAAGGCTTCATGGGGAACACATCTCACTGTCGTTCTTCCTTATGGAGGTACCGGTTAATTATTCTTTCTGTTAATAAAGCATCTGGATCCAATCTGTACCTACTGGTGGGAAACTATTTTGGAATTATTTGAAATGTTAATAGTTTTATGACATTCTGATTCATAGCAGGGTTATATTGGGGTTTTCTGCTCTATATCATTGCAGAGGCCATGATGGATGGAATTACCGCTCCCTGAATATGCTCAAGGAATAAATACTTGCTAATAAGCTATCTTGATACTTATTCAATAAATGTGCAGTGTTTTCAGATGATACTTGAGCAAGTAACAAAATCCAAAATCTATTGGAAGGGATATTAACTATCCTGCTTCAAGACACCAAGCTGCTGAGCAGAAGGAAACTACAGGTTCCAAGATCTTTAAGGCCAGAGAAACTTTCTTGGACCTTAATTTTGAATAATTCAGGCCATGAAACCTCCACCAACAAGTTCTCCATCAAGTGCCTAAGGTCCGTTTGTGCCCGAGTATACCACTCTCAAGGGTTGTCACATCCTGAGATGAGCCATGAGGACCAGAGAAACACCAATATCTGCTGGCAGGTTGTCCCTGGGACTAATCACCTTCTGCCCAAAGCAGGGTCCAAACTTAGAGTTCCTGTAGAGTTTCCTTGCACTCTTCTCTGAAAACCATGCTGCTGGCGAAGCCACCAACAGCATCCCGGTGCCAAACGTGAGCCAGGCCATGGGATGCAGCAGGGGAGGAAAGGTTAAATTTATTTCCATTGCTGGCAGTGGCCTCCTGGAAAGAGCAGATGGCTTCTCTGGCACTTTGTTATAGCAAGGACCAGTGCCAGGGCCTGGGAGCGCTGGGTGCCTCCAACAGCCTGACCCATTAAGGGATGAAGCATTGGGCTGGGAGGAGATGTAGGGATGCAGAGATGGGACCTGGGCATCACTACTGGCCCTGTTCCCCATCTCCCAGACACATGCAGGGATGCTGCATCATTTTGAACATGATGGGGCCAAACTGCTGGGACCATGAGGAGAGGAGAGCATCCCTGGATGGAAAGGGGTGGAAAAGGAGCTCTGTCCACCTCCCAGGGCCTCACTGCAGCTGCCGGGATTTCTCTGGGTCTTTTATTGTGTTCTAGATGCATTTGGACCTTTGTTGACCATCCCTAGGGCTGGAAACAGCCCGTGCTCTTGTATTTGGACATGGCCATCTTGGCTGGGTAAGGACATGATGGACAGCACCATGCCTGAAATATGTGTGGGTTTGAGGCCCTTTCCCTGGCCAGGAAACCACAGGCTGTCCTTCGCTGCTGTTCGTGTTTAAAGGCTCACAAATAAAATTCTCCAGATTCCCTCCAGCCCTTGCTCCTGCAGCTTCAAATGTTCTGCCAGTCTCTGCTTTCCAGTTGCCCCTTTTAGTTAAACTCCTTTTTTGGTCCTGTTTTCCTTCAGCGACCTAACGAGCCGCTGGATTAAAATACATGAAGTCCAGCCATGGTTGTCCCTGAGTTTTCCGGGAGCCTGGGACCAAAACGGGAACCATCAGGCTGGGAAGGAGCTACAGGATGTAACAGGGCGAGAGACATTTCCGTGCGGGTTTATGGCCAACCCGTAGGGCTTCTGGGGAAATTATAGACCAGGGCTTGGTTCAAAAAGTGCCGTCAGCAAGGGCACCCACTGCCCCCAAACCAGCAATGATTTCGACAGAACCCTAGTAAATGTATAAATAAAATTTATAAACCCCCTTTGGTTTCATCCCCAATGTAAAATCTGGCTATAGGACTTTTCCGTAAGTGAAGGCTTCTCTTACCCACTCTAATCTGGCTGAAAGCAAGGAGGAGGAGGAAAGGCTTCTTAAATTAACTCTCAAACTAGCTCCATAGGATCTGGCTCCATTTTTGGCTGGTTTCTATCTCCCCAAACCCGTGGAGGCAAGAGCTAAATGACTGCAGGAGCTGGGCGGTACTGAGCGATTCCCATATGGGGCTGGCAGGCATGCTAGGATGGAGATTTAAGACTGGAGTTGGGTCAGGATGTGTCCGGGTGCTGGCAGTTCCTGGGCTGTGCCTGGGTTGGGGCATTTTGTTCAGCCCCTATTGCTGGGTTTAATGGAGGGACCTTCTCCTGTACCACAAAACCCCATGGGATGTGCCAGGGAGCTTCTCGGAGGATGCTGGTGGCCAAAACCCCTTCCCCACCTACTCACATCTCCCCTAAAACATGCTGCACCCCGGTGTAGCTCAGAGCTCCCCAGTCATCCACAGAAACCTTTGCTTTCCAGTTCAATTCTCTGCTGTTCCACCCCATGTCTGTACTGCAGGGAGGCAGCTCCATTCCCAGGGTGCTTGCCAGGGTCCTCTGCTCCGCTCAAGGATGAGCCTTGGTAATGGATCAACATCTTTTCCCCATTAGCTCAGGCATCACAGGCTTGTGGGACCAGATAAATGCCACCCTAATTGCTGGCGGCATGCATCTGACAGGTTTACAGCGTGCAAAGTCGGGCTGGATTGCTTCTATCAAAGATGCTTTAATAACCCCAAATCAGCTTTCCAAAAATGAGCAACACTAAGTACTCTGTGGCATTGGAGAAGGAACAGGGAAGGGGATGGGTTGGGTCCCCTGAAGACCCCCCGCCACCTTGCTGCCACCCATCCGCAGGAATCGGATTTAACCAGATTCGCTGACACCTTGATGGAGGAATCAGAAACCGGTTCCCTGCCCTGACAGGCTTCCAGGAATAAGAGTTTGTAATTGCGCAAAGTTAAAAACCAGCTCACCACTGTCTTTCTTTTGCCCAAAAGCAGTGCTCAGGGAGGTTACGGAGAAAGCCAAACCCTTGCATTTGTCAGTTATAATCTGGGGGTTCGTTTGGGGCACGGCTGGAGGCATCGGCTTGATTGTCCAACCCCGAGGTCAGAGGGGACTCCTGAGCCATCCCCCCAGCCACCTTCGCCTTCGGTGTATTTATCTTCCACTGATTACAATTTCCGCTAAAGGGAAAAAAAAATGCAGGGGAAAGGAGAAAACGGGGGGGATAACGTTACCGAAAAACGAAAGATGACATGCTGGGGAGGATGGGGAGAGGGAGGCACAGGGGCTTTGCAGAGAGCAGGATGGACCTGGTGTGCTTCACAAAAAAAGCCTTAATTGCCTCAGTGTGTTAGAAAAGACACGAGTCTTTTCACCCATGATGTGGATGAGTTTTGGGGTGCTGGATGCAGCCTGGATAACCTCCAGCCTCCTCTCTGCAGTGCTCAACCTCAGGCAATGCTGCCTGCCCGCGAGCTGCGGGCAGCCGAGGGGGCAGCGCTCTGCCCTACAGATGCCATGGGGTGCTGGGAGTCACCCCAAAACCCTTCTCCATCTGGGAGCGCTGACGCTGGAAAGCCTGGACCACACTGTGCCGGTGAGCCGCCCTGCCA